CGAGCAGATTTTTGGCAGCAGGTCAGTAAGTTGTTCTTGAACTGACTTCTCTCCGTCAATATTGACAGTACGCCAGTTTTGACATAAAATTGTATTATAAACTTACCTTTAGAAATATCGGTCAGTTTTGTTGTTATATTTTTGTCTGCTTCAAGAACTTTCACCATCTCGGTTATACCAACTTTCTTTGCTTTATGAAAATATTTTGGTTCAGCAAAGACTGCTATTCTATAACATTTTCCATTGTTTGTGTAAAGAACTATTCTATCAATGAACTTGTATTGTTTGTGTGTGTAAACTTTGTTTTGCTTCAATTCGAAGAGATACTCAAATACGTCCATCTTTTTATTCTAAGTAAAATGTCATTTCCGAAAAATAGAAGCGTAAGTGTTTCAAAAGGTTTAATGGCGGTGGGCAGATGTGAAGTTAAATTCACCAACTCAAACAAACAGTCAAAGTGTTGTTGTCAATGTCAAAGAAAGAGATGTTGAAGGGGAAACCATACGAAGACCAAGATGGTATAACAATAGTTCCTGTAAAAGAACAACCAACATACCCTGAAGTTAGCAGAGACTTAAGTTCTGTTGCAGATATTCGAAATGACTACCAACAACTTAAAGACAAACTTAAAACTCAGGAGAAGATTTGTCAAGCTTTGGGTTATAATGTTTAAACTTGGTTGAGCACAACCCTGTAAAAGTGAACTCATATGTCATCGCATCTCATGAAATTTTGAAAGAACTATTGAAACTTTTGACAGAGGCAGACGATATAAACATCAAAGAAATAGAACCCGACATTGCTTGCTGTGGTGTTTCATATAATGTCATTGACAAGATATACGTTATGAAAGGAGGCGAAACGTTGAACTTAAAATATAGTTTCCCAGACGTCATAAAAATATTTGACGACCACAACATTTCATTAAAATTTATTTGCTAAGTAAATGGCAGAAGACATAGTGGTTTATACTATTACGACTAAAAACCCTGAGTCATATAATTCTATAACAAACAAACTTACAAAGTCCTCAAGGACGGTATTGTAAACTAACCTTAAACACAATGACGACTAAAGCCTGTTTTGCTCTTTTGACACCAGAAGACTTTATTGTTGTGAATGGTAAAATACTTCTTTGAAGATACTTACTCAGATATACCACCAACAGGTTTTGTTGACTTATTTAATACTTTAAGGACGGTGTAACATGTGCTGCAACTAGAGCAGGTTTCATTATGTTTGGATGTCCGACTGAGTTTACTATAAACAATATGAGCTATAATACAAAACTTATATCTGGTTTTACTACCAACAGTTTCCTATAACAGGAAAAGGTGTCATACAAGGAATGTCTGTTCCATTGACTTTAAGTACACCTATTTTATATATTGTTTCAAAACTTAGGTTCAAAGTGCTATTCGAATGTTGACAGAAACTACTATGACCAAAAGATACTCATGCGTATAAACAACACTTTCTCTGCTGGTTTGCCTATTGTTCATTCGAATGCAGAGTTTTCAGCTTTAGTAAACTCAAACACTTTAGCAAACATAAACTTAACCTTAGTTGACGCAAACTTTGTTCCTGTAAAACTTTTATGTCCTATGTATTTGTCAATGACGGCAGAAAGTTTCGAATTGGAAGATGCAACTGGTGAAAGTATTGTACTACAAGAACAACTTCAACAACAAATAGCTCAAGAACAACAAATAGCTCAAGAATAAAAAAAATATTTTTTTTTATTCTTATAAAAATGTACAGAATAGATGTTTCAGATTTTATGACTTCCAAGCATTCAGAAATATGTGTCCATTTCGAGACTATAACAAAGCAGTCGAGAATTTGAAACGTTTAGTCATTATGTTGACTCTGCCCCAGAATGTTATGTCATGAAAGAATGGGATGTTGTCTTTAACAAACCAAGAGCAACAATAGTTTCAGAACAAGAATGTAGACAGAAACTTAAGAAAATAAAAGTCGTACAAGTTGGCATGAAGATGTTAGATGCTTGGGATATCTTATTGTCAAAGTTAGAAGATTTTTCAGTTCGAAGGTATAAAGTTCTATACACCTTCTCCAAACTTCTATTCTATCTTCACTGGATATAAATACGAACAAGTAGAATGGAAAGAAAATATTATAGAAGCTTGGTTAGACCATGTCAAAGAAATTATATGCAATGGAAACGAAAGAGTCTATGAGTATATCTTATGTTGGTTTGCAAACATCTTACAACATCCAAGTGCTAAGAATGAAACTGCTCTCATTATAATTGGAAAACAAGGAACAGGTAAGAACACTTTCTTTACAGATATTTTGTGCAAACTGTTAGAGGGCTATTCGAACCCGAATATGACAAACTTAAAAAACATCTGCGGTAAATTTAACTCCTCAATAGAGAATATGAAACTTATAGTATGTAACGAACTTCAAAGTATAGATACAACAAAAGTTTTGAACTCAGATGCTTTGAAGAGTCTTATAACAGACAAAGTTGGAGTTGTTGAAAGAAAATATAAAGACCAAAGAGTTTGTGAAAATGTTGCAAACTTCATTATGGTTTCAAACAATGCTGTTCCGATGAAGTTAGAAAGTTCTGACAGAAGATATGTAGTTGTCAGAACGTCAGATTCTCATATGCAAGATACAGAATATTTTGACGACTTAGCAGAAACTTTGACATCTGACTTTTACAACCACTTGTTCTCATATTTTATGACATTAGATATTTCTAAGTTCAATCCAAGACAAATTCCATATACCGAAGAGAGACAAACATTGTTAGAAGCAAACAAGAGTGTATATGAACTGTTTATAGATGAGACTAACTTTGAGTGTTTAGATGAAAGGTCATTGTACGATGAATATAAACAATATTGTCAAGAATATGGTTATATGACAGCGTCTAAACGAACATTCTTGGCAAATGTCAAAAGTCTTTTAGATGTTCAGAATGGCGTATATACAAAGAAAAATTTTTCTGAGTAAATTTTAAAAAAATATTTTTTTATCCGATAGAAAAGATGGCAAAATTCATCTCAGTAAATAAGTACATGACAGAAGTCAAAGAAGAACTAGACCCATTCGCTTATTTGAATGTTTACTTCTACCATTTTGAAAAGTCTTCATTCAGCAAAGTTTGGAACATCGAACCAGTTAAGTTTGCTATTGTGACTAAAAATGGTGCGAAATTTGAAGACTTAGACATAGAAGGTTTGTTAGCAGTCAAAGAAAATTTTGACAGAAGGTTCTCAAACCTTAAAGAAGGCAAAGCATACAAACTTGTTATACCTTATGAACCAAAGAAAGCAGACGACTATGAATATTATGAGTCTAAGATAGTTGAAGTTCAAGGTAAGTTGGGTAAAAAGATTTTAGAGTCTAAGCCAGTGTTTGCTCCTAAAGAGGAAGAGAACATTGACATTGACCCAGAAATGTTCTAAAAATAAAATTTTATTTTTACATGTCAAATTTCTTTTTCTCTGGTTCAGGTTCTTTCTTCTTTTCTTCTACTTTCTTTTCTTTCTTTTCTCTCTTCTTCTTCTTCTCTGGTGGAGTTATGTCAAATTTGGCGCAACCATATTTTTGTAAAAGTGCTTTGTCATTTAATAGCTCTTCTATTCTGTTTTCTATTTCATTTTCAAGAACAGCGCATGTGTCTTCTTTGCATTCTAAGAAATTTTGTTGGACTTCATCTCTCCAAGAGGCGTCATCTCTGTCAACAAGTCTGTCATTGACAAACTTAAAGACTTCTCTGCCTAATGTTTTATGGTTCTTGTCATATTCCCAGAAACAGAACTTTAGAACAAATTCACCTTTCTTGTTTACACTATGTAAGATTTTATGGTCGACAGAAGTTTTGCTGTCGAAAAGCTTGTCTCGAATATAGATAGCGAAATCACTAGACATTTTCAAAAAGATAAAAATTTTAATTTTTCTAAAAATATGTTAGAAAAAAAGTTTGCTGACATTGACAAGAAATTTGAGAATGTTTTGAAGAAGAACAAGAGGAAGTTAGAAAATGCTCAGATAAAGCCTATACATGAAAAGTTCTTATTTGCTCAGAATGGTATAACAGGTCTAATCGCACCACCTGGGTCGGGTAAGACTTTCACTTATCTTAAAATGGCTGCACAACAACAAGAACTAGATGAGAAGAACCCATTTTATGAGTTAGTAGTCATTTGTAGTACTTCTGGTCAATTTGACCAAACCGTCAATTCGTTCAAAGATATTATAAAGAAGTCTAAGTTAGTATGTATAAAGGATACTGAGTTGTTAGATTGGATAAAGAAGTACCAAAGAAGAGTTTTGAAGTACAATGCTATAAATGAGTATATAAATTCGAAGTTTAAAGACCCAAATGAGGAAATGCAGAGAATATTAGAGAAGAAACACTTCAGAAACAAACAGAAAGAGATAGAATACATTTCGAAGAAATTGCAATCTTACGATTGGAAGACTTACCCTCATAGGTGTCTTCTTATCTTAGATGATTTCGCCTCTCATCCTTTGTTAAAGAATAGAGAACAAGATATGTGTCGAATTCTTAAGAAGCTCAGACACTTTAACATCTCAGTTGTCATTTGTGTACAGACAGCAAAGAGTTTAAGTAAGGATGTTAAAAGAATACTTACTGACATTATACTTTTCCCTGGATTGTCCGAAGACGATTTCATGGAACTTATGAAAGAGTCCATGGCAGGTAAGTTTGACAGACATGAACTATGGGAGAAGTACAAAGTCATACAAGACCCTCATACTTCTTTCAGAATTCATATCTACGCGAACAAAGTTCAAATTGTAAAAAGTCAAGCTTGAAAAATCTAAGTGTTTTGGCGACCAGGGTTTTTTCACTACTCGCTGTTCTTCACTGTTTTCCGAGGGAAGCAAGCATATGAGGAAATTCATGAAATTTCATACGGAATTCAATAAAAATAATGTTTATGTTAGAATGTTAGATCTAACATGTTTTCTAACATGTTTTCTAACATAACTATTTACAAGCGTTTTACATGGTATATGTTGCGATGGTTCATGACTCTAAACAATTTCGTAGCTTCTATTTCTTCACGAAGGATGTCAAAAGTTTTAACGATACCGAAAGTTTCTTTATACTTCTTCTTGACGTCAGATAGAAGGAAATCGTCAGCAGTTGGATAGTTTTTGTTCAGAAATTCTAACATGTTCATTTTATCTTCTGCTGGTTTTTCTGCTTCTTTCTTTAAATCTGCATAGTCGTTTCGCATACGTTCTATCTCTTTGACGGAGTAGTTATATTTCCTCATTGCTGCTTTACATTTTGAACATTGCGGGTTCATTTTTGCGTTATATTCTGAAACCTTACCTGCTAAAACAACCAAGGCGTCAATGGTTTTCTTCATCTCGAACATAGCGGGTCTTATTTGTTCGTTCCATACCTTACCCCTACTATCTTTATCTCTTATTTCCCAAACACATTTTGCAACTAATGAAACAAAGTTGTCGTAGGTCTTAAATTCTTCGGATTTGTAAAGGTCAGAGATGTTCTTATATACCATGTCGCAATCTTTGTCCATAACCTTATGGTTGCAATGAAAACCAAGGAATTCATAATTTACCTTTCGTATGAACTTCTTTATTTCTACTGAGTCAGTTGCTTTGACTTCTATTTCGTCAAATTCGGGAATGGTTAGTTTTTGTTGTTGGATTTCAGGCAATTTGGGTAAATGGTCAATAATGTCCTGCATTTCATAAAGATACTGTTCATTTGTTTCATCTTTCGCACTACAGTCTAAATTACTTGTTAAAAGTTCTTGCTTTATCTTCTGGATTTTTGTTTCGAAAGTATATGAAGAAGGAATGAAGTTTTTCATCTCTACTAACATAGATGTTGGATTCATAACTAGCGAGTTTGGTGCTGTAGTTGTTTGAATTGTTGTTGTGCCGATTGTTGAAATCATGTCTTTTATACAAAATAAAAAAAATAAATAAAATAAAAAATAAAACTAATTTTATTTTTTATTTCGGGAAAATTCATGAAAATTCAAGAGTTTTAGACCATGTTAGAAAACGTGTTAGAAAACATGTTAGATCTAACATTCTAACATAAATTATATTTTTGGTGTAAATTTCATGAAAATTCAAGAGTTTTAGACCATGTTAGAAAACGTGTTAGAAAACATGTTAGATCTAACATTCTAACATAAACATTATTTTTGCTGAATTCAGCAACAAAATTCAAATTGTAAAAAGTCAAGCTTGAAAAATGTAAGTGTTTAGTCTTAGTAAGATGGTAGCTTCTTAAAGCAAATACCATTGCTGAGTTTTATGTACGTGAAGAGAAGTACAATTGCAATGACAACTAAGGCAACTATTTTTGTCTTTTGCCAGCAAGGGTACTTCTTCTCTTCCAATGGTTCGGCAGAACTATACTCACTCATGAGAAATGCCAAAACGGTTTAATAGAAAAAGTGTTATTTTTTCATGTCCGAAGACTCGAAGGTGCAACACTTCCAAAATACCGACGAACTCAGAAGAGCAGCATGGCAGTATGTTCTTGACAACTTCTTTGAGTTCTCCAGGCACACCTTGGAAAATGCTGAAGAACTCCGACACAGAGAATTTGGAGAAATTGCACTCCAATACTACATTGACAAACAAAGGGTAAACAAAGGGTAAACAAAGGGTAAAATAAGACTAAAAACTTAAGGTTTAAAAAAGTGACATTTTTATGAGCTCCGAGTCACCGAGAAAACTTGGTCAGATGTTAGCAGCTTACTTCCCTGAGGAGGATGGAAGCGTTACATACGTAAGGTTCAAAAACAACGAACCTGGAATTGCGTACCAAATTCGCAATTACATGACCATGGAAGAGTACGAAAGGTTCCTACAAGAGAAACCAGCTCTAAACAACTCAGAAAAGAAAGAATAAAAAGTTTAACTCGTAATTGTTTATTTTTTTACTTGTATGGGCAAGCTGCAAGAATGAAGTCAACTATCTCCGTCTTTGTCTTGACCAGTTGGACTGCTCTTGCGAGTACGTCTGTTTTGCGGTCTCCAGCTGGTGTCTGACCTTCGTAATTGCGCATGTTCTTGAGAGCTCCAACTGTAAATGGCTGTAAGATGAAGAGTCTCTCAGACTGCTTGAGGTAGTCTTCACGGTCACGAACCGAATCTGTGGTACGAGTCGAATCGGTCGATTTGAGGGAAGAGACTGAAAGCCTGTCATCTTCCATCGGGGCTGTGGCATACTCTTTGCGTAAGCGGTTCAGACCTTCTTCGAAGTCTTGGTCTCTCTTCGATTGAGATTGAGATTGAGATTGCTGGGGTGGAGCTTGCTGGAACAACCAAGGGTTGGGGAAGTAAGGCATAGGCTGAGGAGGAGGGTAGTTCGGGAAGCCTTGTGGTGGGTAGTAACCTTGAGGTGGAAATTGGTAGTAACCTTGAGGTGGAAATTGGTAGTAACCTTGAGGTGGAAATTGGTAGTAATTTGGTGGAGGGACTTGCTGAGGAGACTGTTGTGGCGCTGGGGCTGTCGGTTCTTCTGGTTTGGGAATCGGCTCGGTTGGTGGGACGTCGGACATTCGTTTGTGTCCTGTCGGAAGGAAGAACTTTTTCTGTCGGACATTCGTTTGTGTCCTGTCGGAAGGAAGAACTTTTTCTGTCGGACATTCGTTTGTGTCCTGTCGGAAGGAAGAACTTTTTCTGAAGTTCGACGAAAAAGTTCTCAATTTTCGAAAATTTGAATGGTTTACGGACGGACAACTGGAAGAGTTCTTCCTGTCGTCGGGGAAAATTTTTCCCTTTGTCCGGAAAATATTTTCCTGTCGGATGGAAGGACTCGGAATGCCAGAAGGATTTGACGAGGCAATTTACCTAATTGAAATTAACGACTGTGTAAAAGACTACTTGCGCAAGGTCATGAAGCCCAAGGTCAAGTACACCACTATTTCTGGAAGGTCTACACTTCAGCTCGAGACTTCGACTGGAATTCCAATTCAAATACCAGACGGGACAGCCTACGATGGCATAAAGGACGCCAAAAGAGAAGCTCTTGTTAAGTTCTTTGCAAAGCGCCCATGGATAAAAATACCAAACAAGGAGAACCCCCTACCCCATATGAAATTGGCAATTCAGTCTCTCCTTCACTTCTCGGGTCAGCCGTTCTTCATAACCTGTGAAGGCGACATCCAACCAGTTCAGTTCAAACCTTAACGTTTAGAGTAAAAACATTTTTTTCATTTTTTGAATGAAGCAAGTTAAATTCGTCCCACACCAATCTCAATGGACCGATGAAGAGTTTCAAGCTATGGTTGAAGGTGTTGAGAACGACATAGACGGCGAACTTGAAGGAGCTCAAATCACAATTGCAACCAAAATTGCACAAGTCAAAGAAGAGATAGCTCCTCTTAAGGCAACCAAAGCTACTCTTGACCTCATGGATAGTTACCGTTTAGATGTCAAGAGTGGAATAAGACATTTAAAATTAAAACTTCTAAACTACGAAGCTATACTCCAAAAGTTAGCAGAAATGAGAAGACTTTACCAGAGCTACTTACATGTAAGGGACTTACCTTCAAGCAGTCCGACCAAAGATGAATTTTCTGACATTGTCCCAATTTTGTCCGAAAGTCAGCTCAGATGTTTCGAACTGCTCCCAACATATCCAGAATATGAACGTTTGCCTGAACTCTTCCGCAATCTCAAAAAACGTTTTTTGGTTCTCATGTTCGAAACTTTTATCGGAAGAGACAACAAACGTTCAGAAGAAGAACAAGATATTATTTTAAACTTGTTGTATGACATAACTGTCATAACAAGCTTTTTGAAGTAAAACCGTCATTCTCAAACCACTTCATTTTTTCGATGTCCGAACAAGCACCGAAGCCGAACACAATGGCAGATGTCCTTTCAATGTTGCCAGACAAGCGCCCAGTTCAAATTCAAATTTTGAATTTGAAAGCTCATCTGACAAACACCGTTAAGACTCTCCAAAGTAGTCTTATGGAAGAGATGAAGGGACTTAAAGGTGAGTTCCTCATGAACCAAGCTTCCAATGAGAAAGTCCTGAACGATTTGACGGAAACCTTGCGCATTTACGCGAGAGAGAACCGAGACCTTGCCAGACTCATCTACCGTTTCTTCGAAGAGATAGATGCCATCTGGAAGGTACTCGGAAAGGACAGAACCTCCAACACCGTAATTCGTGAGTACCAAATTGAAGAAGGAATTTTCGAGGAAGAAGAGGAAGAAGAGGAAGAAGAAGAAGAAGAGAAACACGAAGAAGAGGAAGTTTGGGCAACCCTTGTTGCCGATGACGCTTACGAAATTTCCCAACCCTACCCATACCAAATCCGCAACAAGGAGACAGGCAAGGTTCTTACCCCAGTCCTCAACAACTTGGGACACTTGAACCTTAACCTTCGGAATCGCGGTTCAATCTCCATGGGCAAGCTTGTCGCAATTCAATGGGTTCCAAATCCAGACAAGAAGACGAGGGTCAGACACATTGACGGTGACAAGCTCAACAACCGTAAGGAGAACCTCGAGTGGTTCTAAGAGTAAAAAAATTTTATTTTAGGGGGAAACCCCAAGTAAATTTAAGTTTTTATTTAGATAAGTAGCTTAAATTACGGATAATTTGGATAAGTAGTTCCTGACCTCTGAATTGAACTCTTTCGTCATCCCAGTTGCGTAGGAGGTCGTCCCAGAGGAGTTGGTAGAATTGCCAATCCAAGGACGATTTGTCCTCCCAGGCATTGAGGATGTACTGCTCGTAGAGTCTCATGACCTCTGCCTTGCACCAGACACCCTCTCCCTTGGAACGTAAGGCTTCTTCGAAGTGCTCGAATGCGATTGGCTGCTTGACCATCTGAAATGACACTTTTTGTCCGTTTGGTCAATGTTTGTGTCTCGTGCCATAGTCGACGAAAATACAGACAAACAGGTTTTATATATGAGTTTGAGACCAAGAATTCCCCACATTTAAATTCAAATTCGAATAAAAATTTTTTTACTTCATGCAATGTTTTATTTCTGTGCCGTCTTCAAGTATACCCCAATACTTACGCTTGGAGAGGACATGAACTTCGGTGAAAATTTTGTCCAATTTGAATTGACCCATCTTTTCACCGACCATACCCATTTCAATGAGTTTGTTATACCCTTCTTCGTTCGTCATGAGCGCGTCAATGTTCTCATAGTATACCTTCACTTTGGATTTGACTCGGAAAGAATTTGTTGTAGTTGTCAAGGACTGCCTTTGCGAACTGAGGGTAAGACCAATGTTCGACAATAGGTTTTACTGTGGTTACTAAGCCACTTTGACCTTGAGTGAATTCGTATTTCAAAACAAAAGGAGAACCTTTCAACAAAGTTGTCGACCTTCTCATAGTGTTTACTCTTCATCTTTGAGGTTTCTTAATGGAATATCCCCATGTCGAATTCATAAGCAATTTGAGTGTCATTGCAAGTTTGGGGTTTGAAGCTTTCCTAATATCATACAGTTGTTGTATGACTTTTCCAACTGTATAGTTCCTTCCCGGGAACTCACCATCTT